ATACCCTCTAGGATTCCAATTGGTTGGGTGGAACCATCCAATTCGCCTTTAAAAGACCAATTTACCGATTTACAACTTGCACCGATTTCATTAATTCAAGCCTACCACGAACATTTATGACAACATATAATGATCACATATGGTTTCAAACGGCATTATATGACTCCAAGATGTATTCCTTAAAATCCCAATCCTTTTCGACACCGGGCCTCAAAACTTTCGAAATTTCTCAATAAGCGTGAATATTAGCTTTCAATTTAGGAATATTTTGACTTTTTTCCGTCCGAAAAAAAAAATTGTCGAAATGTTTACTATGATCCCTAATATCATCTGGGAGTCCAATTGGGTGGGTAAAACCATCTCATTTGCCTTTAAACGACCAATTTACTGGTTTACAACTTGCACCGATTTCATTAATTCAAGCCTACTACGAACATTTATGACAACAAATAATGATCATATAAGGTTCCAAACGGCATTATATGAACCTGAGATGTATTCCATAGAATTTCAAGACTTTTCGACACCGAGCCCTGTAGGGAATAGTTTCAAGCCTTTAAAATCCCACTAGCTTGAACCCCACTGTGATCATACACTAAAGTACGGTGGCGTCCAAAAGAGAAGAAGATAGAGCAAAAGAGTCCCCAACAAGTTTTTAAGGAACTTGTAAACCGTTCACGAGGTGAAGGTTACACCCCTTAACGATCCAAGAGATCGTCAACTCCATAAGGTCATGAACCAAATAAGGGTTCAGGGATGAAGGTACAAATCCAACCTAAAAGAGATTGAACCTGCCCTAATAATAGGCCTCTACTTTATTCTGCTCGTATTCATGTGCGCTTTCTGATTAACATGCAATCAATAGGATTAACCCTAAACCTGTTTAATCTATGTTGGTTGAATATTAATGCATATACAAATCTATTATTGGCGATCACTTGAATTATAATCACAATTAACCCTAAACAAGATTATTAATAGTTTTATTAAGCGTGAACCAAATTCCCTTTAAACATGCAATAAAGGTGATCAAGCAATAAATAATAAATAGCATATCAAGCAACATAATAAATAATCAATATCATGAATAATAATTATTATAATAATAATAATAATATCATCATAAATTAAATAATTATAAATTATAACAATTATAATCATGTTAAAGCATAGCAAGATCCTAGGCATGATACTAACAAGATTAATAACAAACCCTAGCATGTCACTAAACAATAAAAATCAAATCTTTAGCCCTAACATGTTACTAACAATCATAAATATTAGGAAGAATATAGGAAGCATCATACTTTTAATCATACTTGATATTAAAATTACCCTAGACATGATATTAGGAATATCATAATAACAATCTAAGCATGATTTCTACATCATAATATCAATTAAACCATTAAAGTACTTACTTGGATGCCTCGTACCTCTTTCTAATAACAAAATACACACGTTAGTAACTTCAAGGAAAATAATAAACAAAGCAATTAAATTAAATAATTGAAAGAGAAATTTGGGACCAAACCCTCAGAAATTAAAACCTTTCACGTCTAGGGCGAATGCAACTTCGAATATGGCTAGGTGTATCAAGATCTAATGAATGCGGAATTATTTATTTGAGAAAAGGCTAGTTTAGAAAAAGGGAGAGAGAGAGAATAATCAAGAAAATCTTGATGAGAGTTGGTGATTGATTAAGAGGAGATATGACCTCTATTTATAGGAAAAAAGATAATCGAAGAATTAAGAAAAGAATCCAAATTCGAATCGAAATAAAACTCGTAGACAACAGTTTTTGCGGATTTTGTTTTTATCATATCTTTTGATCCAGAAATCGGAATAAGATGAATAAGATGTCGTTGGAAAGATCTTGAATTCTACTTTCTAACCCAATTAAAATCAGATTAAAATATATTTTAGAATAAAAGATATGAACGAAATAGTGAGACGGTGTCAGTTTTGGATAGAGTTTGATATCTTATTCATATCTTTTTCGTTATAGCTCGGAATTATTATTATAATATATCATTGGAAAGATAATTTCAAGATCTATCCAACCATATAAAATTTGGATATAAAATATTAGGCACGAAAATAATATCTGACTGTCTTTGAACATGTTTAAATCCGAATAGAATTAGGACTTTAAAAAAGGAATGTTTTATAAAAAAAAGGAAAGTTTATATTTAAATCAAATTCCTTAATATTATCTTTTCAGAAAAGGATAATTAAGATATTTTAGAAACTTATAGAAGATTTTAATCAATCCTAATTAGTTTAGGAATAGGATTAAACCTTTGAACCCTCCTCATGATCATTGGGTCGTAGGTAAAATCCGGTTTGGGCCCAGTTTAGTATTTTGGCCATAACTTCCTCATTATTCATCGGAATTGGGCTTATAATATATCGTTGGAAAGGTCTTTGCAAACCCCATCCAACTACATCATTATTGGACCCTTATCATAGTCCAAACTAAACTAGAATGGACGTTTTCATAAAATAGAGTGGGCTTTCGAAAACAGAAAGAAGAGAAAAGAAAATAAAAGCTTTCCGCAACACTAGACTTTTCCACACTTTCGTTTCATTCGATTATGATTCGACGTGAAAGGTACTCATCACCGAGTTTGGTTTTGGGGAGACACATATGGGTGTCTACAGGCCCCAAAACCTCCAAAATTTCTCAAAAATCGTGGATATTAGCCTTCAATTTTAGAATTTTTGACTTTTTTTCACCCGTAAATAAAAATTGCCGAAATGTTTATCAGGGTCCCTAATACCCTCCGGGAGTCCAATTGGGTGTGTGGAACCATTCAATTTGCTTTTAAACGACCAATTTACCGGTTATTGCACCGATTTGCCGGTTTACAATGGCCAATTTAATTAACTTGCACTGAACCCGACTTGAACCGAAATTGACTCAAACCTGTTTTAACCCGTCAAAACTCGTTTTAACCCGACTTGCTACTAACCTGACCCGAATTCAACCCGACCCGTTCCTAACCCGACCTGAATTTAACCCAACCCGAAATTAACCCGACTTGTTATTGACCTGACCAAAATTCAACCCGACTTGTTATTGACCCGACCCGAATTTTACCATACCTATTACTTACGTACCCAATCCAAAAATTCAACCCGATCAGTTACTAACCCGACTCGAAATTAACACGACTTGTTATTGACCTGACCTAAATTCAACCTAAATTGTTCCTGACCCAATTTCAAATAACCTTAAATGCAATTTAGACCACCTTATAATTGGTGATCAAAGCATTTTGTCTTGGGAGACCAAGTCGGTCCAGGCCAACAAAAGAAAGGAGCATCATTCTCAAATTTAAGACTTGGAAATGACTAAACCTGGTTGTAACCCGAATATGACCTGACTTGGAAATGACTAGACCTGATTGTAACCTGCAAATTATTGACTTGACATAACCCGACTTGAATTCGAGAATGACCCGACTTGGAAATGACCCAACCAGATTATAACCCGCAAATTATTTACTTAAACCGAACCCGACTTGAACCCGAGAATGACCCTACTTTAAAATGACCTACCTGATTATAATCCGCAAATTATTGACTTGAACCGAACCCAACTCAAACTCGATAATGAGCCGACCTGATTCTAACCCGCAAATTATTGACTGGAACCGAACTCGACTCGAACTCGAAAAATACCCTTACCCATTTTATCCCATGAAAACACGAATTATACCTGACTTATTGTTCACCAGACCCGAATGTAACTCGACCTGTTATTAACCCGAGCTAAACCCGACCCAAACCCGATAAGAAGTATGACCCGACGTGACCCGACTCAAGCATGACCCAACCCAAACTCGATCCGCATAGGTTATGGAATTGATTAATCTGAATTGACTCGACCCGAGTTGACTCAACCCACTCTTCCCAACCCAAACCCGACCCGTTTACCCGAATTGACAGCTATATATATATATATATATATATATATATATATATATATATATATATATATATATATATATATATATATATATATATATATATATATATATATATATATAAACGAGCATCCTTCACAGCAATATCTAAATTTGATTAATTACTTCCTCGTTCCATAAATACCTTCTTTGCGTTTATTAAGCTTTAAACGTAATTGTTGTTTAGATATTAGGAAATATGCTATTCCCTTTGTTTCTGATTAATAGCAATAATAAAAGAGTTGACACATACTTTATAGTTTAATTTAAGAAAAAGTACAGGGTGAGAAACTAAAATGAGGATTTTATAATACTACCTCCCTTAACTGTTATTTGCAACAAAGGGGTATTATTTGTGACTTGTGAGATATAAATATTCTTTTGTTGCAAATAATAGTTAACGGAGGTAGTATTACATATAGTTAATTAGTGTGGAGTTATAGTTTAATGTATTCTCTCGTACATTTCTCTAGTTAGGAATGGATGATATATTACATGTATTCTGTAACTTCATTGAACAACAATTAAGCTTTAAAAAAAATGTACATAAAATTATTATGAGTCTTCCACGTTAAATTTTTGCCCCAACTCTAAGATCTATATGACAAAAAATCATCTTATAGATGGCCAAGTCTTGGACTCAACCTTTGGCCTCAACCTTTGCTTTAATTTCCACCGATAATGGAAAGAAGACTAAGAAAAGTCAAGTCAACCAATCCCATTCTCATCAATGTTTATTTAGACCAATACTCTTACCATCTTGAAAAGGCTAATTCTATCATCATATAGTTTTAAAATTTAATTTTTTTAAAAAGTATTTTATGATGGATATACACTAATATTTAATATGTAACTAATATAAAGTAGGATTAGTATTTATTGGATATAAAGAGTTTATAGGAAATTATACATGATTTTTTTTAAAACTAAAAAAATAAAAATAAATTAAAACGCGAACAAAAAATTCATTGTCACCTATTCAGAAGCAAAGGCGAACAAAAAAGTTCATTGTCACCTATTCAAATTAATTGATACGTTGTAATTAAAATTAGAAAGTCCTAATTTGGTCACAACTCACAATGCATAAGTGGCATTAAGTGGTCAATTTTGTCAAAAGTTCGGAGTAACATACAAGTTTTTTTTTTTTTTTTTTTTTTTTTTTTTTTTTTTTTTTTTGAGGGAAAGTAACATACAAGTTAGGGACATACCACACCCTCTATATAAAGCCTTACAAAAACACAACTTCAAGCACCAAAAACCAATAACAAATTACCAACTCCAAAAAAAACTGAACCAAAATGGCGCTTAAAACGAACCACATTAGCCTTCTTGCTCTACTTCTCACCCTCATCACCCTAGCCGTGTCGCAAGGGATCCTAGCCGTTGATTACACGGTCACAAACAATGCAGCCTCAACATCCGGTGGCATGGTCTTCGCCAACCAAATTGGCGAAGACCATGCGCACCAAACACTCGAAAGTGCCACCAACTTCATATGGCAAACTTTCCAAGAAAACACTGATGCTGACCGCAAGTCAGTTGATCAAGTTAGCCTAATCATAGTGCCTAGTTTGCCACCAAATATCGTGGCCGAAACCGGTAACAACCAAATAAGTTATTCTGCCGAGTACATTACAAATAGTGGCTCGTCTGATGACATTAAAAATGGATTTGATGGAGTAATTTACCATGAAATGGCTCATGTTTGGCAATGGAATGGTAATGGTCAGGCTAACTCCGGATTGATTGAAGGTATAGCTGATTTTGTGAGGTTAAAAGCCGGGTTCATCCCGAGTGGATGGGCTCAACCAGGAGATGGTGACAAATGGGACGCTGGCTATAGCGTGACGGCTAGGTTCTTGGACTACTGTGAGAGTTTGATGAATGGATTTGTGGCTCAGCTTAACATGAAGATGAAAGATAGTTATAATGATGGTTTTTTTCAGGATTTGTTGGGTAAAAGTGTTGATCAACTTTGGTCTGATTATAAGGCTCAGTATGGACATTAGATTGGTTAAAGTATAATATAATATAAGTGTAACACTTGAATTGCACCAATTTGATTATTATGTATTGGTATATGTACTTCCGTTGTTTATGTTAGGTTGTCACTAATTATTAACGTGACAATTAATTCTGGACTTATATGAAAAAAATTATATTATTGCCATTGTTATATCTCTCCTTTGTTGGGAGTACAATAAAGTAAGTTTTGTTAAGTTGATTATTTAACTACTAGTGCATGATGCAATTGTATCAAGTGTATCCAATACAAAGCAGATTTAAGGTTCCATATTTATATAACATCTACATTTATTCTACTTTATGATAAGTAACGAAATTAATCGACCAATTTTTTAGGTTTTAGGGTTTAGACTTTTGAAAGGCTTTGAGTTGTTGGATAAAGCTCGATATTCTTAATTAACACCATATTTTATGCTTTATTTAGCATAGAAATGTAATTAATCTCTTCAATAATAAACATTACTCCGTACTAATTAAAGAATGAACTAAAAGAAGTATTTCATGGAGATGCTGCGGGGCAGGGACATGATAAAATGTGGCTATCAACACTATTGTCCTTCATTATCTTCCTCAATCAACTATACAACTTCAATTTGTTAAGAACAACCAATCAAGTTAATTATTACATCAGAGTAAACCCGACCACGTTTCAGAATAAAATTACGTGTTGTTATAATGACGAAATTTGAATTAATTTAACCCATCAAATATGAATTGATACAAGTTGTCCCATATTGAATAAATATTAAATAGTATAGAGTTAAAATGACTAGCAAATAATAACATACATATACTACGTATAAGAATATAAGATTGTTGGGTTATTTCGTTATTTATCGCCAATTGACTTTAGTATTGAACTTTAGAGTGATTTCCATTTTATGTTCATAATAGTCAAACCATATGAACTTTGATTATGAATCAAGGCTATCAAGCCCATGAAACTTTGTAAGAAGACTTTAGCTTTCGAAGAATAATAGTAATGACCTATATATCCATCCATCTAGAAACCCTGAGTCACTATTTTTCTTAGAAAGAAATGTGATGCACCCTTCATTGACTAGATTTTCAAAAGTACAGTTGTGATTCTACTACGGAGTACTCCGTTTACTTTGAATTTAAGCTGCAAATTTAACAACTACTCCGTAACATACAGCCAAATTAAAGATTTTTCCAAATTAAATTATACACTTAAACTTTATATTCACTAATAATCCTGTCATTTTGCATACATCTTGCCAGTAAAAAAATTATGCCTACCTAATTATTGAATGCACAAAAAATAATTAAATCTTATAGCAAGTACCATATATAATGAATCTAGAACGTACACCCTACAATAGATCATATGGTCAATGAAAAATGTGTAAATAGTGTAAAAGTCAGCGGTGTAATAAAATTACGTATATTTATGATCTAATAATAGTCTAGAGTTTGAATTGTATTTTTTAGACTTGTATCATTATTTGACCATTTCAACACAACAAAATTGCTGCCAAATTAATTAGGATTCTAGGTAGGGTAAGGCGAGAAAAAAATTATGTGCATGGTCATATCCTCCTATATAAGCGTCAAAACCTTCAATAAATTCAATCATAAAAAAAAAAAAAATACTAATCATCTTTCCATATAATAAAATTAAAGTATCATTTAACAAAAAAAAAAAATGGTGTCTAAAGGGATCAAAACTAGTTCCCTCTTCATGTTGTTAGCTATGATCACCCTCGCAAAATCGCGAGGGATCATAGCAGTTGATTACACGGTTACAAACAATGCAGCCTCCACCAACGGTGGCACAGTCTTCGCCAACCAAGTTGGCGAGGACTATGCGAGACAAACACTCGCGAGTGCCACTGACTTCATTTGGCAAACCTTCCAACAAAACACAGATGCTGACCGTAAGCAAGGCATAGACCAAGTTAGTCTAACTATAGTGCCAAGCTTAAACGTGGTAGCCCAAACTAGCAACAATGAAATCCAATTTTCTGCTCAATATTTAGGGAGTTATTCAGGTGACGTAAAAACCGAATTTACCGGGGTAATTTACCATGAGATGACCCATGTTTGGCAATGGAATGGTAAGGGTCAGGCTAACGGGGGGTTAATTGAAGGCATTGCTGATTACGTGAGGTTGAAGGCTGGTTACATCGCGAATGGGTGGGTGCAACCAGGGGGTGGAAACCGATGGGACGAGGGTTATAGCACCACGGCTAGGTTCTTGGACTACTGTGATAGTTTGATGGGTGGATTTGTGGCTCAACTTAACTTGAAGATGAAAGATGGTTATAGTGATAGTTTTTTTGAGGATTTGTTAGGTAAAAGTGTTGATCAACTTTGGTCTGACTATAAGGCCAAGTATGGAAATTAGTTTTACTATGGGATGAACCCATTAAGAAACATACGTACGTATACTTCATTTGTTAGAAATTAATTGTCATGTTGATAGTTCAATATGTACGAATAGCATGACAGTGAAATCTAGACAGTTGTAGTGTATATTAGTATTATGTTGTCATTGTTGGACTTAATGGGTGATTATTTTCCATTATAGTCCCACTAATAAATTCTACAAAAATTTTATTTTGGCAAATAAGTATAAGGTTTTGTGGTGATTAATTATTTTCCATTATAGTCCCACTAATAAATTCTATTTTCCATGATATATAATGATTATTACTGCTAGTGCTAGAATTAAATTAAAGAGAGTAGAAAAAATTCAGCGGAAATCAAGTGGAAGCTTAGTAGTAGAGTTTTATCTCATGGTCAAGGGTTTAATTTTCTATTTGTCGACCTTAATGGTTTCTTTTTTAGTAAAACTTTCATTTTGTATATGTTTATTTTTACTCCTTGACTATTAAATTTCTCAGAAGCTAACAATACTACAACCTATCTTTAAAGGTCAAGCAACGATAGACATACGATCTTTGGTTTAGATTTGTGCTTATCCTTGACTTTTTAGAACCTCGAAAAGAAAATCATCACTTGAATTGATATGATTGCGTATGAGGTATGACTCAACAATGCACCACAAGTCAAAGTCAACAAGATAAAATTTAGAATACCAAAAAAAAAAAAAAAAAAAAATTGAATTAATTTTTTAAAAAATAAATATTGAGCTATGGTGCTTATTGCATAGCGGCCTTCATGAACTCCAACCAATTTACTCATTTCGTCGTATTCCATAATACTTATCTCCGTTTTTTTTATTAGTTGACACGTAAGGTTTTGTGTGAGTCTGTTTCACGTGAGTCCAGTTTATAACACACTCCCCTTATCACAAACCGCAACCCCTGTGGCCACACACAGCCCGGAATCAGCCACTCCTTCCTCCACGTTGGTGATGATGCCGCCATCTCTGACCTACCCACTGCCATCACCCTCCCTCTTCCCCTAAATTATGAATGTTTTTGCTACTATTCATAGAATGGCAAACGAAATGGAGTTCCCATCACAAACGAAACATTAATAGAGATGAAAGAATATCAAGATAAGAAGACATTGAACCAAAATGACCGAGCTAAAGCAGCAATGTTAATGAAGAACACTGATGGTTGATCGTTGTGGTAGTAGCGTAGTAGCGTTGCTACTAAGTGTATGATTTATAATGCAACTGGAGGTCCTATTACATTGGAAAACTCCGCCATTGATGCAACGACACCTTCATCACCAGGAAAATTTGTCGAATATCTAATTAATATTGTCTAATATTTGATCAATATTGTCTAATATCTTATCAATATTGCCTAATTTCTGATCAATATTGTCTAATTTCTGACAATTAAAGCCCGAAAAAAAAATACTATTAGAAATAAGCTTTTGTTAGTCAGCAATAAGTTAATTTTCGTCAGGAATTAGATATTTTTTATCAGGAATAAAATCATTCTATTCAGGAATAAGTTAATTTTCGTCAGAAATTAAATATTTTCTGTTTGTATGATTGGACTCACGTGAGTCCGTTCTACACAATACTTTACGTTTCTTTTTAGAAAGTTTTTTTTAGATAACACGTTTCTTTTTGGGTAAGTTTTATACATTGCTTTTTAAGTGTACCCCACTTGATTTATCATTCTCTCTCACTCTCTCTCATCTCCTTAATATGTGTGCCTAAATTAAACGTGTCAACTAAATAGAAAAAAAGGAAGTATATATTTCCTGTTTTTTTTTTTATATATTTAACGAGAATTAAGACAACAGAGAAGTAACAAAAGGTGTGTAAAATGATATACAAATAATTATTATTTTTTTATTATTATTATTTTTACAACGATATACAAATAAGTAAAAGTACATTAAAGACAAAATTCTTATACATGGCTGGCCACACTGTATGACAAGTTATTATATAGGTCATTTCGTTAGTGTTATAGGAGTTATGCGGTTAGTGTTATAGTAGTTACTTCGTCAGTATGTCACTCAGTGTTATAGGGGTTACTTGGTCAATGTTTAAGGAGTTACTCTATTGTTTACAAGCGGTCAGATAATGTGGCCAGCCGCATACCAAGACACACTGATTCTAAGAAAGTACTCCCCTTATTTTTAAATGGCTTATTGAGAGTTTTGGCTTTATTCATGTAACTTTGACTACTTTTTGTGAATTATATATACAATATATAAAAATATATAATCTTGCAAATACTTTTTGGAATCGTGTCAATAAATAATTTATTTATATTCAATTGTTACTATAATTTACAGTTATTGACAACTAAAAAAATAAATAGACAAAGTTTTGCATTGACATGTATTGCATGTCATTATAGACACTTGAAAAGAAACCGAGAGAATAAATAGCAATGATGAATAAACCGGAAAAATCCAAAGAATTTTAAAAAAAATCATAGCACACTTAAATAGTACTTCTGTGCTATTCTCTATATATAGATGTTTCTAATCTTTCTACGCTACAAAACATAACAACCTTACTAAAAGTAGTCTCACAAAATATGTCTCCCTTAGTTTTCCTATCTTCCTTCCTTCTACTCCTCACCACCCAAGTCACCGCGGTGACTTACTCAGTCACCAACTCCGCCACCAATACTCCAGGTGGTACTCGATTCGACAATGAAGTCGGGACTGCCTACGCCCGCCGAACACTCTCCGCTGCCACGGACTTCATTTGGAAAACCTTCCACCAAACCAACCAGGCTTGCCGTAAGAGTAACATCCAACAGGTTACTTTCTAACACGTACCGTGTCTTACTAATACTATGTTGTGAGAGTACGGTACTATTTTTAATAAACTGACGCATTATATTATCAAAACATTAATCACAACATGGAGTGTACAGTTACGTAGTACGTATTAAGCTAAGATATGTGTTCAAAGTACGATTACCTCTTTGTCAAAAAAAAAAAAAAAAAAAAAAGTACGATTACCTATAATTTTGTGTTAATAGGCTCAATAGTTTAAGAATACTTCAATTTAAGCTAGAATAATCCTCGATTTTGAAGTATGATTACCTATAATATTGTCAAAATAAGCAATTATAGTAACCAATATAACCTTATACTCCATCTGTTTTTAAATATTTGCTTCATTTTTCTATGCGCAAAGTTTTTGGATAAATTGAAAAAATGATAAAATATAAAGGTAATGGGTAGGTGGAAAATAAAATTTGTAAAAGTCAAAAATAGTTGAAAGAATTGAAGGAGAGGAATGAATTAAGGAAAAAAACTAAATATTGTAAAAACTTTCCAAATAAGGAATGGAGAAACTATTTAAAAATGGCCAGAAATTAAAAGTGAAGCAAGTATTTAAAAACGGAGGGAGTAATAAGATAACCAGTCTATTGTTCTACCAACTGCTTCATGAAATTATTAACCTAATTTAATTTATAAGTTATAATACGTCACAGGTGAGCCTTATAGTGGAAAGTATGCAAGATTACGCAGCTTACACAGTCAACGACCAAATCCACCTGAATGCAGACTACGTCCAAAGCTACTCAGGCAACGTCAAAACCGAAGTCACGGGTGTTTTAATCCATGAAATGGCCCATGTGTGGCAATGGACCGGCAATGGCCAAACACCGGGAGGGTTGATTGAGGGTATCGCGGATTATGTTAGGCTTAAGGCCGGTTATGCACCGTCTCATTGGGTTAAACCCGGTCAAGGTGATAAATGGGATTAGGGTTATGATGTTACAGCCAGGTTCTTAGACTATTGTAACAGTTTAAGAAATGGGTTTGTGGCTGAGCTTAACAAGAAAATGAGGGATGGATATAGTGATGCTTATTTCAGTGATTTGTTGGGCAAATCTGTTAATCAATTGTGGAATGATTACAAGGCCAGTTTTAACAACTAAAGTCATGAATTTGATGTATTACATACCATGACACCTTTAATTTTTAGTTGCAACAAAGGAATTTATTTTGCCTAGCAAACAATATATACCTCTTTGTTGCACTTAAAAATTAACGGAGGTAGATATCTTTATGAATGAAAGAAGCAAAAGAATAAGCAAAGTTTTTAATAAAGTGTTGTTGTCAAATAATACTTCATCCATTCTATAGTTATAGGAGTAACATTTTCATTTTCATGCTATCTCATGTGTGAGTATACTTAATAAAGTAATTTTGTATAGTAGTGAGTGATCCATGATAGATTACTAGTTTACTAATTAAATAAATGTATTAAACAAAACACACACAAGATTTGTTTCGTGGAAACATACACTTGTGTTAACATATATAGTCTCGATTACTAGTTTACTAATTAAATAAATGTATTGTGAATTTGTGATAACTAGTTTATTACTGACATATAACAATTTATTAATAGAAGTAATTGAAATAAAATTTTATGTCATATAACACTTTACTTGACCCTACCTATCACAAAGTTTTTGTATTGACACACAAGACATTGTGTAAAATACTTCCTTCATTTTTCTTAGTGTTACTTTTTTGTATAAATAATTTTGTTTCACGATAGCTAGTGCACCAAAATCACTTCTGGAAAGAAGAGTAGCCAAATCTTTGTCTCACTTGATTGATTTAATTGTGCAGAGTCAACAATTCACCACAAGACAAAGTCAACAAGATATTAGAATTTAAAAATATCATAAAAAAAAAAAAAATTGAACTAATCAATTTTAATAAAAAAAATAAAAAATATTGAGCTATGGGCGCTTATTGCATTGCATTCATCAGCTTCAACCAATTTAGCTAACAACATTTACTTCCGTTTCAACTTTGCCAACTTGCTTAGATTGCTCATTAAATAACAACACCTTCAACTATACTCTACTATTCTATAGAGTACTACATTGTCTATAAATAGATGTTTCTTTCCATCAAAATATAACCACCCTACCCATAATTAAGTCACACAATATGTCTCCCTTGGTTTTCTTATCCTCCTTCCTTCTACTACTCCTCACCACCCAAGTCACCGCGCGGTGACTTACGCAGTCACCAACTCCGCCGCCAATACTCCAGGTGGTACCCGATTCAACAATGAAGTCGGGATTGACTACGCCCGCCAAACTCTCTCCTCTGCCACGGAATTCATTTGGAAAACCTTTCAGCAAACCAACCTGGCTGACCGTAAGAGTAACATCCAACAGGTTACAACATTAATTTATCACATTTTAAGCCTTTTTTTTTCAAAAAAATATTTAGCTAGGTTATCAAGTTTGTACTTAGGGAACATAGTGAACACAACTTTCTTGTTTTTTCAATGTCAGTACTCAAATTCAATAGTTTTATAACAAAATAAGAAAACTTGTCAAAAATAACAATAAAAACCAAGCAATTAGTGTAACCAATAACCTTATAATAAGTCTATTATTCTATTTTTTTTAATTATTATTTTTGGTTAAAAGTCTATTGTTATATTGCTTCACGAAATTATTTTTCTAATTTACAAATTATAATACATCATAGGTGAGTCTTACAGTGGAAAGTATGCAAGGAGTAGCTTACACAGTCAACAACCAAATCCACCTGAGTGCAAACTACGTACAAAGCTACTCAGGCAACGTGAAAACTTAAGTAACGGGTGTTTTGTACCACGAAATGACCCATGTGTGGCAATGGACCGGCAATGGGCAGGCACCGGGGGGTTGATTGAGGCTGGTTATGCACCGTCTCATTGGGTTAAACCCGGTCAAGGTGATAGATGGGATCAGGGTTATGATGTTACAGCCAGGTTCTTAGACTATTGTAACAGTTTAAGAAATGGGTTTGTAGCTCAGCTTAACAAGAAAATGAGGGGTGGATATAGTGATGCTTATTTCAGTGATTTGTTGGGCAAATCTGTTAATCAATTGTGGAGTGATTATAAGGCCAAGTTCAACAATTAAGTTGTGATGTAAAACATTACATATATTATATATGTATGTATGAAAGAAGCATAATATAATAAGCAAAAATTGTTAAAAGTGAAAAAAAATTCCGACCTGCCGGAATCAAACCAGTGACCTAAGGATGGCTGAGGTTAACCCACTACAGTCCTCCCGCTCTACCAACTGAGCTAAGGTCGGATATGTGGCTGCTGGGATTTGAGCCCAGGTCTCCACGGCCACAACGTGGAATTCTTACCACTAAACTACAGCCACATTGTTGTTAATTTTCTGCTAGATTAATTAATCATAATTAAATCAACAAATATATTTGATGTAAAATTTCATTAGAGCCTAATAATTGACAAAAAAATTAAGGAACCCTACTAATGTAATTTATTTTATGCTATTATAGACACCATTATTCGAATTTATCAAGTTATTGATCTTATATATTAGTGGCAAAGTGATAAGTTCTTCGCTAAATTCTGCATTGAGTAGTCCTTTAGACAGATATGTAACTTCAAATAACTCAGTTTCCAAAACAATTTACACAATTCATAAAAATGTACTACCTCCGTTAATTTTTATGTGCAACTTTGGAGTATTATTTATGAGATATAAAATATTCCAAAGTTGCACATAACTTTTAACAGATGTAGTATATACTATGACTACAAAAATTACAATAAAAATAGGCTTGTACTCCAAAATCTCAATGTTGTATTGATAAAAGGATTATTCATTTCATACAATAAATACTTACTCTACTAGGTACAATATAATCAACTTATTTGTATGCATATCATTATCCAAGGCTATTAATATTTGGTCCACCAAACCACTTTAACCAACTTGCTGAATTATGAAACATCAGCATCAGAAAGCCTTATGAAGCAACATGTTCAATGATAGAGATTACTTCTTCAATGGACACAAACTTTCTCCTCTCTTTCATGAGCATTTTTGCAAAGTTGAGTGCCTTCCTCTCACAATCAGCTCGTTTGGAAATGTCTGCTATTGACTCCGTGTCCTCCACATGTACCACCCCAACAATTCTCCTGTTTAATGCAAAATAAAAGATGATCACTTCATGTTCATCACGAAATTACACATCAGATGATGTAGATCTTGAATGTGATCCATATAAAGGAAAACTCTGTAATTAAGGTTCTGTTACATAGGAGCACAACCAGACTATGGGAAGAGCAGAATCAAAGATGCTGATAAGTTGAACTCACCTAATCATCTTGGCGGATCCAAATCCAAGAGAATCATGGAACAGCTCTTGCATAAAGTTTGTCTGTACGAGTCTCCAAACATCAGGATTATTATAAATAAGTGGAAGATATGCCTCACTCGGACCATCCTTATTTTCATTCCATAATGCGATAAATTTATTGTGGAATAGATTCCAAGTCTCCCCAAGAGTTTTGAGGATCCATTTCTTGTAAGACTGAAGCACGTGAGAGAGGAGTATCAGGATCTAAACATTTCAAACTTATGACTTGTTAACCAAAAGAAACGATAAACTTTTCTTCCCTCTTGAGTAAATCAACAATAAAAGGTTGGAGATTCACAATGTAATGTACTAAAAGAAGACAGCAAGCTATGTAAAGTAATGAAGATAACACTGAGGTGAAACAAATCTGCAAAAGAAACATGCTGCACACAATAGTTGAAGTCTTCCACTATTCCTACATAATTGAACTAACCTTTCGGTCATTTTCTTGATTTGAATGTCCATCTTGTGCAAAGAAGGTCAAAATAAGATTTCCCAGAAAGGCTCCTATATCAAACCCCATTGGCCCGTAGAAAGAAAATTCCGGATCAATCACCTGAGTCGAATCCTGTGTAACCATGACAGAACTAGTGTGTAAATCTCCATGAATAAGGGCTTGTGCCCTTTCATAGAACCTGTAACACAAGGAAATGTTATCAACTCACATTCTAAAAGAGATTTACATTTACCAATAAAGAACTTTCTTTTGCAAAGAAAACAGAGTTATTGATTTAGACAGCATGATTACTTGGATTTCAACTGAGCTACTTCAAGCTTCAGAACGTTATCCTCACGGACTGCCTCAGCATCATGATCAAGGTGAGGAGATGTCCAATGGTTATACTCTGATACTTTATAGGGATCAGAGAATACAACCTGTCCAGTATGCCGGCATAACTCCACATTTCCACAGAATTCAGCAACTGATCCACAAAGCAATTCATAGATTAAAATCACCAAAATAATACACAATGGTGGATGAGGTAGGCAATATTCAGCCAACACAATGACATGTAAAAGTAAGCAACTTCTAAACTTAAGACCACAACAAAAGAAATTTTCAATTTTAATTATATACAGCATAATAGTATGTAGTAAGATAGTTGAAAAACGGAGAAATAGCAACAAGGAATCGACTTATAACATTAGATTGATACATATCAGTTGTGGTTTAACAGTTTAAGTATTTATAAACCATTTCTTTCATTTAGAAAATGACTCTTTACACTAGAGTTGGACTTGCAACTTCATGTTGTTGAACAGTAAGTACATGAATATACTACCTTCACGTTTATGCTCCATTGTGGTAGTATAAAGAAGAGAGGTATAAAACAATGTCTTTGACATGTATTCCGCCATGTGTTCTGCAAGCAATGGATATTCAACTCCAGCAATCAAACCCTTCCTCAGAATAATGTGTGGAGGTTCCAAATAGCGCATGCCAATCAAAGACATGTTACGATCAAAATGATAAACCTCCGGGACATGAGCAGGGCACAATCGACCATGTTCCTTTAACGCCTTAGCCTCATAATATGCTCGGTCTTTAGTCATTGGCCATGATTCCCCAATGCAACGTATGTACGGCAGAGCCTACAAGAGAATTGATATGTGAAATTGTAAACCACATAGTCAATTGTGATAAGCACATTCCAATTAGGCAAATGATTTACAAAATTAATTTGAATTAAAATTGTACACACAATCCTACGCTATGATATACCCTTTCACCCTTTGGCACATCTTGAATATAAATTTATACTCCGTGCTTCATAATTACTAATTTTTCAGGAATTTATGCTTCAGTCAAGTACGAAGTATAATTTACAAGAAAGTGAGAATCTGATATTCACAGCCGGTTAACCATAAAAACGAAGTATAAATAAACAATAGTAATACTGATTAACGCGTGATTTTGATATAAATTCTTACATGGTTCCTATATATGCAAATTAAACGATAATAGGCATGATCAAATACTTAATACACTGTAATAGTGGCTCAAAGTCTCAAATTATTGCAAACACATACAATTTCACTTGACAATTCCCACATACTATCCAAGTAACATTTCATACAGAATTAAACATCATTCCAACAGTTTAACTCGAATTAACATAAAATTCCATTTTTTTTAACCCAAATATCAACAAATATAAACAGCAAGAAGAAGATGAAGGGTAACCTGCTTGATGACAAGAGAAGCAGAAGAGGAGACAACAATATAGACAAAATTAAGGTTGCCATCGCCAACTTCTTTGATCTGATAATTATCGGAGACACCCAGCAAAGAAGAAAGATTAGGGGTTGCTTTAATGTACTCTACCAGTGATTTCTCGTCGAGTGGCCTGAATTCATCAAATGCCGGCATTTTTCCGGGCGGAGAGTTGATCGGAAGCTTATTAGTTGGCGACAGAGTCTAGGTTGTTGAGTTTACAAAGGAAGAAAAAATGGCATGATTGAGGTTGGAAAATAAGGAAATTGGATGATTACTTCCCCAGTAAATGCAATCCAAGAAGAATATTTTGAATCAAAAAGTCTAAATATGAGGTGTTTGGTCCAAATTAATTCATACATGGGAAAATTAAGTATTTATTCCTCACCATTTTTAAATACTTTCTTCATTTCTCCATTGTCCATAATAAAAAATTGGGAGAAAATAATAAAGCACAGAGGTAGTCAATTAGGTGGAAGAATAAAAAATTGTAAAAAGCAAAAGTAGTTGAAAGAATAGAGAAAATAGAATATGAAATTAATAAAATACGAAGTGTCGAAGTATGATTTATGTTTGGTCTATTAGTTGAGAAAAATTAATATAATATTGTGAAAGTTTTCCAAATAAGGAAATAAAACAAGTATTTTAAAACGGTCGAAAATGAAAAGTAAAGCTAGTGTTTAAAAACGGAGGGAGATAAAACTTTCTATTTTCAATCATTTCATAATAATTGTATTTCAGCCTTGTTCTTTTGAGCTTTTAAGGAAAGCATAGAAAATTTAAGCAGACTATTATTACTATGCTAAGCAAATTTCAGCAAAGTAGAGCAGAACATGGTAACTCAAAAGAACAAGACTGAATAGTATTGAAATGGGGTAAACCCGATCCAAGTCAATAACCTATACTCAAATAAGATAATCTTTGATTCATCCCAAAAGTGTCTCAAACTAAAATAATCAAGAAGAAAGTAACGATAATTTGATAGCCCAAAAAAAAAACAAACAAAAAACAAAAAGATAGGTTTGTTCTCATACGTTGAAATTCATTTCAGTTTAGTTCAGCTCAGTTCAGCTCCTAATTTCCTTCTCTTATAAAATATTCAATTTAGTTCAGCTCATTTCAGTTTAGTTCAGCCAATGAGAACAGACCCTAACCATATCAATAATATCATTGCCCTTGCTTCAACATGGAAATAGAGATTGAAGTCCAACAAAACTCTCTAAACAATCATTAACTTAATTAACTCCTTTTGTCCCTATTTATTTATTTATTTATTTTATTATTATTTTTTCTTTTTTTGCCTCATTGTAAATAATGGAGTCACTTTAAAACTTTGGCCATAATATCCTATTGATGACGTTGTAAAAAAAAATATATATCCTATTGATGGAGGTAGGGCATATTCACATTTACTGAACTGAATTGATTGGAGTTGAGCAAAACTGAACTGAATAGAGCTGAAATGAATATTTTATGAGAGGAGGAAATTAGAAACTGAACTTAACTGAAATTAAATTGAAGTGATCAGGCCCGTAATGTTAAGCTGAACTGAATTTGAGGCCCATAATTAAGTTGAACTGAAATTAGAAGCTGAACTGAACTGAACTGAAATTAGAAGCTTAATTACGGGCCTCAATCGTTACAATGTTATACGAAGTATATATTATTATTATCAAGTTTTTATAATTTTAACGCATATAAATATGTAGTTATATACTCATTTTAAGAAGCGCCTTTAAAATCATGAAAAGTATAACTTGAAACCTATTTCATCAAAACCCAAAATTATACAACCAAAATTTAATATATCAGAAATAATACGGAGTAGTATACAATTACATGTAAAACCTCACTAAAGAGTAAAGTAAAATATAACTCCAAGTAATAAAAGGATAGACGACATAGCATTAGCCACTATGTTGCAAAGAAATAAGTCTCGATTAATACTACAAGAAAATAACATTTTCGTAGCGATTATTTTAACCTTTAGTATCGATTGTAATTGCAACAAAAAGCTTTCCCAACGAATGATTATTCGATACAATATCCCCCGTTGCCTTAGCCTTAATTTAGTAGTGGTTTTCAATATCGCTGGGGTTGGCCTCAATAATCGATACGAAAAACTACATCGAATCGTGGTGATTATTGTAGCGATTACAATCGCTATAAATGTTTAACTCATTTTCTTCAAAAAAAAAAAAAAAAAAAAAACATGCGTATGATCTTTACAAGATTCGAACATACAACCTCAAACTCTTATATTAAATGTTTCACCAATAAGCTATGCCATATTTTATGTATTCTTTGTCAAACAATATTTATATATCTAGTGTTGAAAAGGCTTTTCGTATCGATTTTTAGGATTTAGTGGCGATAGTAAATGTTACGATTTCTCAAAATTATATAAATGTGTAAAAATAATGTTGATATGTATTATTATGTTTTCCGTATCGATTTTATATGGGAAAACCATAACGTTTGTAAAAATGATACAACATCCTTAATTATTTCACAAACATACTTGCATATTGTAGCGAATGTACAATCGCTACGAAATAATCGCTACGAAAAGAGATTTTTCTTGTAGTGTAAAGTCGAAAGTAAACTACTTTCTCAATCGTTGCAAATAATTTAAAATAGATGTAGTATACGTAGTTTCTTAGGTTGATGTCATAGCCTCAGGTTTACAAATTCACAGAGTATATAGCATTGGAAACTTAGAACCTTAGGTCAACCTATCAAAGAAGCTTCATCCAAAAGTGTCTCTAATAGAGAAAAAAGTATGAGCATGGATAATTAGATAGAGAGAAAATAAAAGTGTCTCTAATCCATATCCATATAACCATTATAAAAATGCAAAAGTAGCTATTGTAGCTTATGAATAGTAATTTCTGGTGCTATTACATAGATGCCCTTACAATTAATGAATTGCCCAAATTGCCCTTTCTTAATCAATTGCCTTCTGTGATAGCTGTAATTGATAGTGGGCCCCCTGATTCTACACCGACTTCCCTCTCTGTTTTCATCTCAGAAGGAAAGGGTCAGAGCATTTGATTAAGAAAGGAGAGAGAAACCTAGAGAGAGAAAAATGCAGTACCTCGCTCAAGATCATCGATCATCCCTTTCGACGATGGGGCTTTGATTCTTCTCAGCGTCTGAGGTTGTGGAAGATGACTTTCGACGATGGGTGTATTTGTGCGAAATCGCTTCGTTTTTATTGAGGTTTATTTGATCGATTTGTTTTCGATTTTTGGGCTTTATTTGGTCGATTGGTTTTCGATTATTTAGGGGTTTATTTGATCGATTTGTTTTTGATTTTTTGTCTTTATTTGTTCGATTGGTTTTTGATTATTTTGGGGTTTATTTGATCGATTTGTTTCTGCTTTTTGGCTTTCGTTTTTTGGGTTGAATTGGAGTGATTTATCGTTCTTTTGGGATGAATTGTCTGATTCGTGGTTGAATTGTTGATCTCTAGGTACAATTCTCTCTCTCCTTTCTCTTATGAGCTTTCTCCAACCCTCCACTGAAGCAACTCCTGGACTTTCCTCTCCATTGAAGAAGCTTGAGAGGTTATTTGATGATTCTTTGATCTCCAGGTTTGATTCTCTCTTCTTTCACTCTCGTGTTCTAATTGTTAGAATGTTCAGCTCTTTAATTAGTTTTTTCCTTTTATTTGAATGTTGACTGATTTAACTTCCTTTCCTGCGAAAAATTTGGAGTATGTTGTGTTTTTTTTAATAAAATGTGGGAAAGTTTTGAATTTTATTTGTTTTTAGTATAAATATGTCAAGTAATAGCTTAAATTAAATATATTTTTGTGGTTAATATTCAAATTGTGGTGATAAATTTGTGTTCTGTGTAACAAATTGTTTGGATTATGGCTTACACATGTAATTTTAATGATGCATTGGTTTGGGATGTGTAATCTGCAATTGATATGAAATGGAGGAGCTGATTTGGTTTTAGTGTTTTCAGATGCTTAATTATAGGCTATATGATTTGAGTAATTGGCTTTGGTTTCAATGGATGATTGATTAGTACTTTTGTTAAGCAGAAATGGGTGAGGAGGCTACCAAAGTTGTTGTACCGGAGTCAGTTTTGAAAAAGCAGAAGAGGGAGGAAGAATGGACTTTGGCCAAGAAGGAGGATCAGGATGTTCAGAAGAAGAAGAGAGTTGAAATCAGGAAGCTGATCACTAACTACAGTAGTAAATTTGATCACATTAATTAATTACACAGAATTCAGCAAGAAAGTGCATCAGGAATAATAATTTAATTAAGATTATTTATTTGCCGAAAGTATGTTAAAATTGTTGATCCCACTAGCAACAAGCATATATTCTTTCATGATTCTAACCTTCTATTCATAACTTCTTTGTATTAAAAGGAGAAATTAAATCATAAAAATGTCTTAATAGAATAATATTTTGTCTTAAAAAATTATTGTATTAATAAACTTGATAAAAGTCAGCTCTCTGATTTGATTCTTCTTGCTATGTCAATTGTTCTAGAAATTACATGTCTTTTAAATGTTTAACAATACTTATCTTTTTAATAAATTAATCATATACTACCTCCGTTAACTATTATGTGCAACAAAGGGGTATTATTTGTGGTGTTTGTTCTTGGTGTATGGTTATTTAGTATGATTAAGTTTCTGATTAGCCTTGTTTATTGTTAATTAGGAGAGGGAATTGATCTGTCTCAGAAGGGAGACTAAATTGAAGGGTGGATTCTACGTCGACCTAGAGGCTAAGCTCCTATTTATCATCCGTTTCAGGTTATCACTTCACTGTATTTGATTTTTTTGTAGCTCAAATATATATCATGGTTTACTATTAAGTTTCGAGTCTATTTGTTCACTGTTTTCGTATAGCTTACAATGCGAATTCTCTGTGATTATGATATACTCCCACGTCTCTTTATTAGAGTAATAAATGTTAGAAAGGGGACTCTAATAATGAGATAGAGGGAGTAAGGATCTGATTGATCGATACTACTATTATTGTTACAATTGTTTTTGGTGCCGCATACCTTAATTGTTTATGAAATCTGTTTCTATATTCTTCTGTTTGTTAACGTTAATTCATAGAATCTCTAATAGGGATTGTTAAATTTCGTAGCTTACTTATATGTCTAATGTATTAGTGACTTAATGACTATGTCCATGCATATGCTATACTGGCCATATTGATACTGATTTAGTTGTCATATAACCGAGAGCAAATGAATGTTGTCTGCATACTCATACCCAGAATACCAAATAACATTAAGCCTTCCTGTTCCATATCCCTCATATAGGCCTTTGCCTTGGATGTGTCACCAAATTTCATTCGATTGATGAATTTCAGAACTACCTTGAAATATTATGGCTATATGTGTATGTTCCATGATTTTTTGTGATTTTTCTTCTTTTCCAATGTCATTGGCTGTTGGGTTTTTTGAATGGTCGAGACGTCCTTTTGGAGTATTGGAAATAAATGACATGTATTTTAGGCGTCGACTTTCATTTTCTTTTTTTCATGTTGGTTTGGAGTATATGTTCCTTGATTGGATTGTATTTTTATTGAGGCTATTGAGATGTGATGGAAGGTCACAAATTTAGCATAATTGGACAATGCCCTATAATTTTTTCTTTTTTGTTTTGTTGGCATACTGATACTCTCATCTAGGTTCTGTTACTAAAAATATGGAGAAATATCTTTATGAATTTGTGTTGTGATGTACTGCTGTCTTTGTGAGAGCTATCTTGAATCGTATATTGTGTTAATAATTGCATGATAGGCATTTGACTTTGGATAGTAGAGGTTGGTAAAGAATTGAGAGCCATATGGACCTCATAAAGTTTCTTGTAGTGACCAAACAAATAAGTACATCCAGTACAAAAATATTTTAATTGCTTAGGTTTCTATGCTAACATATTCAATTTTAGTTCTTTTTTGTATCAGGATGATTTTGTGTTGGGAAAGAAATTGGGAGAAGAGGCTCTTATAGTTGTTTATAGGGTTTCTTAGTTAATAACAAGATGCCCTCTGTGAAGGTATCTTTTTTGATGGATTGTCCATGATGAATGTATATTTTTATCTATTCTGATTTTCATTTGGCATAAAGATATTGTACTGATTGATTGATGGTGTTTGATGCATGCAACTACAAGTGTTTGTTGTTTAGAATACGTTTTTTGAGTTCATCACTTCAAAATAAGTGGTAGGTCAAATACAAGTGACTGATTTACTGTATAAGATGGCAAATATTGAAATGATGATTTTTTTTAAAAATTTTAACATGATTGTGCTTTGGTGGAATTAATCTAACTGAAATCTCTTTACAGGATTAATGATAATTTTTTTGGCTTGGAAGCAGCCAAAACCACTTATTTAAGTCTGCGTGGATTCTTTGAAGATGTCGTACTTTATTTTTTTATTTTTTTTTTAAGGTGTTTGTACTTGGAAATTTGAATAGTGCAGTATGGTTTCTTAAAAACTGTTAGTGAGAGAACATATTTTAGGGTTTGTTTTGTTTATCTTATTTTCACTTATTTCAGATGTAATAAGTTTTGATAAGGGTTATTCAAGTACAAATTACAACTAAAATAAGGTCTAATAAGTTTATGTAAGTTCAGATAAAGTTAAGATCATTGAAAATCAGGTGAATAGAACAAACCCTAAAGGCCTTGTCTAAAGTAAAATTTAGGATATAAAGAAAACTTATATTTATAATGGCCTTTTCAATTAGCTCCTAATAAATTATCAAGTGTATCTTTAAAGCTTTTTGATGATTTAGGGGACCGCACGTGATCGTTGATTTTAATGGTTATGACACCATATAAAGTGCAACCACGTGTTGAGATAGGGTGACAGTAATGGCTCTAATGCATGTGAGAACTTTAGATTACTTGCTCATACTTTTTTTCTATGCTCCTTCATTTGCATCAACGTTACATACTTGCATATAAAAAATGTAAACACTTTCAAAAAAGTTAAGTGCAAACACAAGATTCTATTTAACCGAATGAATTAAAGATATACTTCCTCTGTTTTTTTTACTTGATCTGTTTCTTTTATTACGCTTGCCAATGTTAAACTTAAGCGATCAATAACTTTAATTCTTTATAAGTAAAATTATAAAAGTTGTATATTACAATAGTACTTATTGAGACGAATTAAAAAAGATATCATATGAATATATTTTTCCTTACATATCATTCACAAAAGACTGTCAAATAGTGTAAAATTAAAGTCAAAGCGGGTCAAGTAAAAAAGAACGGAGGAAGTACAATACTTTTGAAAAGATTTAGAAATTGAAAAAAAAAACAATATTTTTAAAAAGGCTTTAAAATTTGGAAAACATAAGTGATGCAATGTAACAAAAGATGGAAAGAGACAGGAGAATGATTGAGAAAGGGGGAAATGCAAATAAAGCATAACTTTATAAATTTTGAATTCATAAGATAGGAAAGGAAAGAAAAGGAGGGAGGGAGGGGGAAAAAAAGATGGTCAATTAATTGTCAATTTCATGTGATAAAAAATCAATAATGTAATTTGTATAGAAAATTAATTTGATTGATAACATATTTAAGAAATGATTTCAACCTTAAGGTAGAACGTGTTGGATTCTTACGTAATATTTCCTTAAGTTTGCATATATTATGTTTCTTTTCTAAGACATTGAATCCCTTTATTTTGTTCATCTTTTTATCTTCCAAAATGACCTCAATAATGTATGAAAACACACAAAGGAGAAATAAGTCATAAAATATCAAAAACCTTAATAAAGACATTAAATTTTAAAGGAATTAACATAAAAATCTAGGAACATAACTAGAAAATAAATGTCAAAATGACACTCATCACATACGAGAGGGAGAGAGATAGAAAGAAAGAGAGGGGGGAGTTGAGAAAAAGAAGGGCAAGGAGATATTTTATTTAACAAAATAAAAAATAAAAAAACAAGGAGATAAGGCCAAGGGAAGAATACAGTAACTTTTGCCTAAATTAGATCATATATTCACTTAGGGAAAACAAATTTCGAAGATAAAAATAGTACTAAAATTCAACATTCAACTCGAAGAAAAAATATAAAAATACAAAACAAGCTTTGAAGAAGTTTAGATCACACCAATTATGTAGACTGATAACAAAGAAATATACAATTCTTTCATATGCTTTGCATTTAATCCGTTTTACAGAACTTTAACCTTTAAAATTGTATTTCCTTATTACTGCTCCTTATTATCATAATCATTTTAAGACGAGTTATTTGTTAATAATTAAGCTACTCCATAAGAAACCATATTGCGTTCAGAAACAATATCTAAAATAATTGTATAATTTTTTAAAAAATCTTTAAGTTCTAACAAATTCTAGAAAACTGTACTTTTAAAATTGTTTTTCTATAAATATTTCTCCGTAAAAACTTTATCACTACTTCTTATTATGACTTGTAAATTCATGTGTCCTTACTAATGCAAAACCCGTCACAACCACGAATATCACAAAACCCGAACGCAACCACGAATATCACAAAATCCGAACACAACCACGAATATCACAAAAACTGAACACAACCACGAATATTACTTATCTTGTCATCGGAGGAGCACTCATTTGCGCGTGCTCCAACGACTAGTAGAGAAAAAAGTACGAGCATGGATAATTAGATAGAGAGAAAATAAATAGTATGAATTGACAACTCATATATGACATAATGTCTATCCTTTATCGTATATTGCATTTTTTATGAATAGTTGTGTACGAAACCCCAACAATCAAACATAGAATATGTACTCTCGAGTGGACAATAGACTAACCGATCCATAGTTTCACACCGAAGGAGCCTATAAATGATCAAGTAAAACACTAAAACTTGTCCTAATGGTACAATTTGCACATTATGGATCAAAACCAACTAGCGGCATTTTTATGACAGAGATTCCTTACCCTTTTTCCTAATCCTAAACGGTCTTGCCCTTTGCTTAAACTAAGGCCTTGTTTGATTGGCTAAAAATTTTGTGGGAAGTCAAAATTTCCATGAATTTTATTTTCACCCTCTTGTTTGGTTGACACAAAAAAGTGAAAATGGGGGTAATAAAAAATTCATGGGAATTTTGAATTCCCACAAAACATGGGAATTCACTTACCTTACCCCCCTGGTAAGTTGAAATTCCCATGGAAATTTACTTGCTCCATTTTTAACCAAACAAATTTGTTGAATTCCCATGATTTTGATGATGGAATTTATTTCCCGCAAATTGAAATTTCATGGGAATTTACACTTCCCTAATGAACCAAACGCCCCTAAGTTAACTTGCGCTACTATAAGAGATTTCGACTTGATAAGACTTTCTCCTTACTTTTTATAAAAAAAAAGGCGCGTAAGTAAACCACACATCGCAATACGTTTTCCCATTATAAAATTCATTACGGAGTAATTATCATATGGACTTTAAATTCAGTATTTGATTGTTTTTGTTTCCAACTCCAAGCTTCCAAGTCACGCCTTATTTAATCCCACGTGAACAATACAAGCACAAACCCGACCATTTACATCACGGCACGCCACCTCTTTCCCCTGATTTTCTCTCTCTCGTCGGCGAAAATGCCACCAACACCACTCACCTTCGCTCTGCCATTACTCTCACTCACACTCCTCTCTTTCTCTCTCCTCTTCTCCGCCTCCGCCGCCACCAAATCCGCCGCACACCTCCTCCATCGCCGGCCATCTCACGGCGGAAGTCTCTGCGAAGAGCTCATCATTCCCTCCGGCTACCCTTGCTCCGAACACTCCGTACTCCTCTTTCTTTCTCTCTCCTTCAATTCTTCCGCCAATTTTTGTAATTTTTTTAGGTAATTTTTTGTGATGTTGGAAATTTGACCAGGTTCAAGCCAAGGATGGATTTGTACTTGCACTTCAGCGTGTATCGTCTTCTTCTTCGGATCAATTGAGGTTGCGACGAGGTCCTCCTGTGCTTCTTCAACATGGACTTTTTATGGTTATTTTATTTCCTCCTTTTTAATTTCTGGTATAATGAATTATTGTCTCATATCGCTGAATTAGGTTTTTTATTTTTTCATGTTTAATGATTATTAGAGATTAATGAAATTGAATGCCATTGATATTGTCTGGAAACATAAATTGAGCTGATTGTAGTAGTTTGATTTACCAATTAAGGAAGTTTCAACTTGTAATATTGCATTTAAGAAAGACATATTGCATGATTAGGTTTTACACTATGCTATCTACTTTGCAATTTCGTATAAGATGTAAATAATACCTTATCTGTCCCACTCGATAAGGCCACGTGTAAGGAATTCAATCGAAATTCATAAACTCTGATGGGGTTAAGCATCAAAACATTGTTGTGATACTGCTGATCAAAGCCAAATATATATCAGAGTAATATCGAAAATTCATAACAACTGCTCTAGGTATGAAGTGTGCCATATTATTCCTAATGTACAAATATGGCTTAATAAAGTAGGATGGAAGGATATGCTAATTTTGGGGGTTTTTGTTTAAGATTTTATTATTGCTATCTCTTTTTAAATACTGTAATCCCACTGATTTCTAATTCTGTTGAAGTTGATGTTTTTTCTTTCTATGACAAAGAATATTGCCTTGAGAATCGTTTTAAAATGCATATATAAGTGAAAAGTTGGTAACTTGGTAGTTGGTATCATCCTTTCACTTTGTGATGTTTGCTATCTTATATCTGTGTACGCAGGGAGGAGATTCATGGTTTTTGAACTCAAAAGAAGAATCTTTGGGTTTCATTCTTGCTGATCGTGGATTTGATGTGTGGGTTGGTAATGTACGAGGAACACGGTGGAGTCATGGACATATTTCTCTTTCAGAGAGAAGCAAGGTACATAGGATGTTCACTATTGATTTGGTTATGCACTTATGCAATTATATAGGGTTGTAGAACTGTATAAGTAGTTTTTTTTTTTTTTTTTTTTTTTTTTTTTTTTTTTTTTTTTTTTGCTTGTTATATAGGGTTGTAGAAGTAGAACTGTATGAGTATGCGTGGTCAGTGCTTTGACTTGGATCTTGTTATGCCGAAATTGTACTCATTAGAGTTTTCATCTACCCTTACAGGCATATTGGGACTGGAGCTGGGAGGAATTGGCACTGTTTGATCTTGCAGAAATGATTGAGTATGTGTATCAGGAGACGAGCTCAAAGATTTTCCTTGTTGGACATTCACAGGTGATAAATCTTTTCCATTTGCTTAACTGCCATTCAACTTTCTTTGAGTTTTCTATGATCCAAAACTGTGGCTCCATGCACATATGCATTTGCTACCTGTTTGCTAACCAATCATTACTTATTGAAGCACAGGGGACTATAATGTCTTTGGCTGCTTTCACTCAGCCAGACATAGTGAAAAAGGTGGAAGCTGCTGCTCTTCTTTCTCCAATATCATACTTGGATCATGTTAGTGCACCGTTTGTTCTTCAGATGGTTAATATGTACCTTGACAAGGTATTTATATTGTTTGTAATTTTGCCAAGTATTTGTATGCAGACTTTGCTTGATTAATGTCGGATTGGAGGATATAAAAATTAATTTTATTTTTTTCTTGTATGGGTGGCTGCCTGGACGTACAGATGGTAATTGCAATGGGCTTTCATCAACTTAACTTTCGGAGGTAAAACAATTTCCTTTCCTAAGCCGAGTCTGAGGTTATGTGTAAAATATTCACCCTTAGAAGTTGTATGTAAATGAATGCAGTGATGCAGGAGTTCAGCTTTTGGATTCTGTATGTGATGGCCATCTAGACTGTGAAGACTTGTTGGCTTCTATAACTGGTAAGTCTTTTGGTTTCCTTCTTCTAGGACTATGGAAAGCTGGAAAAAAGCATGTTAGAGCTGCAAACATAGCTTCTTGCATTACGCGGAAGTCATATTAGTCAAAGTTGATAGTGAAATCTGGAAGAGCTTGGATGTTCTTTTACTCCTCCCATAGGCACTGTCTACTATATTGACGTACTATAATAATCCTTAATCATACTGAAGAGTTCTTTTCATTGTTCAAGGAGAATTCTCTGGTTATTAAAGCAATTAATAAAATTATCTTTTGAGTTGATTTAACTGCTTTTTCCTTAGTGTTTGAATATCTCTTTGACAATAATGGACATATTCACCACTGTTCATGGTGCCATCTCTTCCCTTCTCATGCAAATTATACTAATCAAGCACCGAAAGCATTTTCTTATTGTTATGTTTTGTTATATGACTTATATCACCTTGACTTTCAATTCCTAGTGATTTAGACTTTTCTTCGAATTTCAGCTCCTTGGTGGATTATCATTTTCCCCCGAATGCTCCAAGTGATTCTTGTGTGTATGGCTTCTTGTTATCATGATTGAGTTTATAAATCATTAACTTGGGTAGCTGGGGGATTACTGCATTGAATGTCTACTTTTTCTTGTAATTAGTTACCATTCTGTTTTATCTTTAATTGCTCATGTGCTCTGTCTTTCCTTACCTTTGATTTTTCTTTGGTGCAATTTCTTTTCTCTATTCGTTAGGTAAAAGAATTTCTACATTTTGCAGGAAAGAATTGCTGCTTTAACACCTCAAGGGTGGATTTATACCTTGAATACGAGCCCCATCCCTCATCAGCCAAAAACATAAACCATCTTTTTCAAAGTAAGTGTTCTGAAGGCTTTTTCTACTATCTATCATACAGAAAATTTATTTTTAATTGTACTATGTATATTTTTGGCTTCTAGTAGCACTTGCATCTACAGTTTCATATACTTCCTCCCTTAGCTCGGATTTATGTTCTACATCCTGTGCAATTCCAGTGTCCAGATACTAAGGTGGATGGGCTGGAGGCCGCTGGGGGGTGGGTGTTGTTGTCTTCTTCTGTGAGAATAGCCTTTGTTCGAGTAACACCGAGTTGTTATATTTGGGGTGGCCATCCTTTTTTTTAATGTGACTTTAATTGTTATGGGCCCTTAGCTTTCATTTATACATCTATATGCTTCCTCTCTTATCTGTGAAAATTGCAGCTTTGTGGTTCCTTGTTTCTACATTTTCATGCCCTGTTTCAGTTCCGTGGCAACATAGGATTGAGCCTGTTGTCTTCATCCAATCTATCCTGTTGTTGAGTAGAGTCAACTGAAAGTATTATAAAGATGTCAAATTTGACTCTTTACAGAAATTGACATTATGCTATTTTTAATTTTCTGATTGCAGTGATCCGTCAGGGTACATTTGCCCGGTATGACTATGGGATGTTAAAAAATCTGAGACTTTATGGGTCTGTAAAACCCCCCAGATTTGATCTTAGCCTTGTTCCAGAGTCATTGCCGTTGTGGATGGCTTATGGAGGCAATGATGCCTTAGCTGATGTGACAGATGTACAACACACTCTCAAGGAGTTGCCATGCAAAAAAGAGGTTCTTTATCTTGAAAGTTATGGCCATGTTGATTTTCTCTTGAGTGTGAATGCAAAGGAAGATATATATGAACGCATGATAGAGTTTTTCAGCTCTTGGGGGAAATCAAGCAGCTTCTAAGGGGCTGCTTTAAAGTGTATATATTCATTATATTGTAAAGCTATTGCAACACTATATATCTCTTCTGGGAGCCGAAATTGATATGCGAAGTAGAATGTAAGTTCCTCATTTCCCTTTCTCCTAGTCATTAGAATGATTATAGATTAAAAGAAATTAGAATGCAAATATGCTTGATTTTCTACTTGTATCCTTTGTGCTTATAGATTAAGCATTCGGTTTTATTTATTCTGATAATGTTGATTTACATGCATTCGGTTTTATTTATTCTGATAATGCTGATTTACATGCAGGACAGCAGGATCATACATAGACAAATATCTTCTGGCAATCTATGATGCAAGTATATAATAGGGATTATAGGATTGATCAGGTTAGTTCTGCGTGCTTTGGATGCTTGCTATTACCTTCCATTGTGTGGGCCTATCCCCAGTAAATTTTTACTGCATATATAGCAGCATCAGGACAACTAGGAAGCGGGATGCTGTAAGCTTAGTTTTATCCGAATCTATTGATAATTGTTCCTGCGTGACAAAAAGATGCTCTTGTTCTGGTGTTATATTGTGTAATGTTCAGTAAAACTAATGTTAAATATTGTATGTTTATTATGTATTGTATATAAGATAAGAGTATATATCAACTCATAGGGAGTAAATTCTCACATGTTTTTTTGACGAGAACATGGACTTATTGGGTGTTGATTAATAGAATAGATGTGAAAACCACTTTGCCCCTTCAATTAGCCCCCCGTCATTCATAATAATATGCCAACATTCTGAAGTAACACTTCCAAAACCAACCTCTTATCATTTTATTGTACTAGTACTGAGTTTCCCATTTTCTGTATTGTTTACTGCCTGCACGAAATAAGTTATGATTTTAAATAAAAATAAGGAAAATTTGCAAATTATAGCCATTTAAAATTCGTATTTTGCAAATTACAGCCATTTAAAAGAAAAATTGCAAATTGCAACCCAAAAGTTCGTATAAATTGTAAATTGCAGCATGATTTAACTTTTTTTATCGGTTTACATGTTGAAAAATCTTTGATTAAGGTTTTACGGGCTATTTTAGTTCTTACGGATCCGAATTGAACTCAAAATTAGCAAAAGAATAACGCAAATGTCTCGTTTTGCGTAACAAAAATGTATCGATTTGTGGGAAACTGTAAAAATGATACACTTGCGTTATTGTTTCGGTTCCTTAAGGCCTAAAATGACCCCTAAAACCTTAATTGAAGATTTTTCGACATGTAAAGTGATAAAAAACATTAAATCGGGCTATAATTTATACGAAATTTTGGACTGCAATTTGCAAATTTATTCATTTATTTAAATATCTGCAATTTGCAAATTTTCCTAAAAATAAAACTTGAAACAATGATTAACTTTCACAACTGAGAACCTATTTTAAAGCCCAAAACTTCAACCAAAATTTAATAGATTAGAAATAACATACAATCACATGTAAAACCTCACTTAAGAGAAATCTCACTTAAGAGTAAAGTAAAACCAAAAATCAAACTAATAAAAGGATAGACAACATAGCAATATAGCATCAGCCACTTTGTTGCAAGGAAATGAGACTCGATTACTGTTGAAAGTAAAGCAGTTTCTTTAGGTTGATGTTACATAGCACATGAACTCCTCATTAGTTTCAAGGGCTGCCATAACCTCAGGTTTAAGACACATTTCCAAATCTACACTTCCTCCTCCTTCACATCCCGGGTTTGCATCTACCTTTCCATCTTCATTCTTTCCAAACCCGACACGAGCAGCCAAAGCTCGTCCTAGCCCAAATTGAGGTCCATACATATCAAACCTCGACGACCCTCCAAACAAAACCTTGTTCGCTCCTAAAGGATCCACTCCTTTAGAGGGAGCCATGACTTTTGGGGCATCGATAAACCTTTTAAAAAAAGCAAGTACCTGTTCTTCTTTATGGGCCGTAATTGATTTATTTAAACTCATTGCAGCCCAGCCCAAATCATGGCCCAATAACTGATCCACCTTGCAAGCTCCATGAACTCCACTAATAAAGTTCCCAACGTAGTCATCCGAAAGGGGTGGGTTAAGCCGAGGGCGAGCATTCACAGCTATGATGCATATGGCTGGCTGATCCAATGGCAAGTTTCGAGCCTTCGTTATGGACCTCCATACAAGCGTGCTTAAGGCTTGAAAAGACGATATAACATTATGAGTTGTCCCACATTGTTGATTGGCCTCGGCTTTAAGTTTTGCCATTGATGTTGATGAGAAGTGGAAGATTCTCTCACTTAATCGTTCAGATTCATAATTATTATCACCGTCTAAATATTGATCAAAATTAAGATACGGAAATTTAATGACCGTAACATCTTTGTTATCGTGCTTATTAACATTCCATGGCTTATAATTAAAGATGGGTGGACGTGAGATTTGTACAACCTCCTTTACACTAGCAAGATCACCATCAAAATTAAATATTTCAGACAACATATTGATAAAATGGATAAAAGTGGTGCCATCTCCTACACAATGGTTCATGCTAAACCCAATGAACACACCATCTAGGAGTTCTGTTACCTGAATTGATAGTAGAGCTCTTGTATGACCATCATAATTATTCCATTTTTCACCTAGATCAAAAAAAGATGGAACCTCGTCTTTAGAGACCTCAGTAGACGAGAGAAATATCAGACACGGTGAGGCCAAGGGCGGCAGCACGAATGAGCCTCGCTCCAAGGCCACCCTCGGTGCAATCGATGGAGATCGTACAAGCATTCTCCTCGGGATATTTTTGCGTTGTTAAACGACCCGCTAACGGGTAGAAATGGACTAGGGCATGGGAGAGTGAGTGTTTGAGCTTCTCAAACAAATGAGAGACAACATTTGTTGTAGTATCATTAGTGGTATTTAGGGTAGTAAAAAGAAGGCCCTTTTGAATGGGATTTTTGAAAAGCATGACTAGATCAAGAGGGGTTAAAAAGTAGGGCTGTTTTGTTAATTCGTAAATGGTTTCATCAAATTTAGGTTTAACCAAACATTCTGAAACGAATTTAGTTGATAGTATATGATTCTGCATTCTGTAAAATTGATAAAACTATACTGATTTTTTGTGTAGATTTGATTCTAAGTGCAGTGGGAAAATAAATTGAGTTATCCTTCATTCTTTTATGGTAGTAGAGGTAGCTGTTTGCCTCGTGCACCATGAGGAACATTGTAGTCCCTCCGTCTCAAAAACTTCGATCCTTTTGACTTAATTTTAGTCCCAAAATGATCGACCCATTTACATTAAAATATCCATCAATTTACAATAATATTTGTACAAAAATAGCTTTTTCATTTAAAATTTTGTTTTTTCATGTATTTTTAATACTTTATTTCTCTACTTTTTTACAAATCTTATGTAATTTTATCTTTTTAATATGTTAATATTTTTTTTTTATTTAAGTTTCTTAATAACCGTGAATTCACCCAAAAGAGTCGAAGTTTTGGGGACGGACCGACGGAAGGAGTAATAGTCCTTATTGTCACTTTTTCGGGATCTGAGCTTCTTTATTTTAACAAGAGTACTGTTTTTTTCTTTCTTTGATTCACTCTTTTTTTTTTTTTTAAATATTTTATTCTTTTCTTTTCTCGTTTCTTGCTCAAATCAATAATGGACTTAGTGAAACGCTAAACATCGCCCGCAATTTACCATATAAAGCCCACAAATATGTTATGATTTGACCATTATGCCCTTTTGCTAAAATTGAGATAATCTCGGTGTAAAAAATGTGGAGCCGTACTGGCTCGTCGGGGGAGACCGGATGGCAGGCCGGAGATGCGGGGGACGCCGGAAGTACGTCGTCGTCGACGGAAAACGAGGTAAGTGACCGCTAAAATTCACGGTTTACCGTCGTAGTGGCTACGGCGCCTAGGGTGGACGCCCAAACCGTAGCCTGGACGTCCAAGCCGGACGCCAGAACCACCAGAGTGGCGTCCAGGCTAGACGCCCAGACCACCAGAGTGGCGGCCAGCCCAGACGCCCAGACCACCAGACCGGCGTCCTGGCCAGGCGCCACTCCACTGGGTGAGGCGGCCCTGCCAGGCGCCAGTCCAGTGGGTGTGGCAGCCCTGGCAGACGCCACCTTTAATAATTAATTTTTATTTTTTCCTTTTTGATTTTGTTGTTGTTTTTTATTTAATTTTTTTGTGAAAATAAAAAATCGAAAATGATTTTTTAAAAAAATTCAAAATGGGTTTTTTGTAAATTAAATTTGAAAATTCGAAATAGGTTTTTTTAAAATTAAATTTGAAAATTCGAATTGGTATATTTTTAAATTTAGTTTGAAAATTCGAATTGGGTTTTTAAAAAAATTAAGTTTGATTATATATAATTATGTTTTTTTTGTGTTAATTATGTGGAAATATAGAAATTAAATGTATTATCCGTTAAATGTATTTATTGTAATATATAATTGATGCAGGAATATGGTGGAGACGGAAATGATTACAGTGAGATATTTGGACATGATGGTCCATTCGAAGAAGCTCAACAGGCGATTGATTGGGCAAAACAGGTTGCAATTGCAGCTGGATTTTGCTTGGTAGTAGCAACTCATAAATCTCAACGGGATGGTAGAATGGATCGCATTTTGAGATGTGACCGTTATCGCAAAAGAGAAGAAAGAGATTTTCGTACAGCCACTCGGTTTGACACAAAGCGGAAAGGTTGTGGGTGTGAGTTCAGAGTAAAGGTTCGACAACTACGGAGTCGTGACGGTTGGGAAGTGATAGGTTACTCTAAATGGGGGTATCATAACCATGAGATGATAGTATATGAAGAGGGTCATCGACAACTGAGCGGCTTAAGTCCTGCTGCGAAACTAGTTGTGAAAGAAATGAGTGATGCTCAAGTGAAGCCTGCTAAAATACATTTAACCGTGAACAGGAAGAGTTGGAGCAGTTCCGTTCGATGTACGACCGAGTGTCCTCCAGCCATCCTTCTATTATTCGTGACGCTACTCATGTGCTTCATGACATGTTCCACCCGTCTAACTTAGATTATGAGGAACCCGAAGGAGTTGACCGTCCTCGAGGTCGACAACGGTGGAACAGGAGTGCGTTTGAGTATATCCGTGGTCTTGGTCGTGGTCGTTCTCGTGGTCGGACATCGTCATCTAGTCGTAGTCAATCTTCATCGTCTGTGAATATGCCCCTGAGAACTGGTACGTTTTGGTTGTTTTTATTGCACATAGTTTTAAAGTGTTACTCCTGTCTTCTTAATTGTCTATAATTAATTATTTGGTGAATAGGAAGAAACGATGTTGATCAGTTTCCGTACAAGGAAAGGATACCTGCGATCATCATGTCGTATGTGGAAGGGTGGAATGATGTAATCGGAGATGGTAACTGCAGATTCCGGGTCGTGGCTGATGTTTTTCAAATGGGCGAAGACAACTACGGTTTGGTGCGTGAGTTGATGTACAGCGAAATTGCCTCTAACCGAAATGTTTATCGTCATGTGTACCAGGATGACTTGGATGGCGCTCTCCGGCGTATCCGGTGGGGAGGTGGACCTTGCGGCGAAAATCATTATTTTGACGCGCCCCTAGATCTGTTTGCCGTTGCAAACATTTACAAATGCGCAGTCATGCATTTCGGCCTGGGAGTGCATAGTCAAGCTTATTATTCTTGTACCACGGTTCTCCCTTGGCGGTCGCGTGAGACTGTCACCACACCGGTCAGAGAGCTAGCTATTG